TAACTGCTTCCCACTGAACTGGGGGGGGGCGGGGGGGGAGGAGGAGGAGGGAGTATTGCAGTGTGAAGGACACTGGAATGAAAAAGATGGAAACTAACCTTCAGTTTTGAGGACTTGAGGACTAGCTCTTCAGTCCCACGGAGAAAAGCAGAGCCTTTCTGGACAAATACATAAAGGAGAAGAGGGTGTAGATAGGTGCATGACACAAGTTTGGGATGATAAAAATGAAGGTACATGGGAGTAAAGAAGTGATAAGAGTCTCAGTGTGTGGTTCCTCACTTGCAGTCTTCTGTCAGCAGCTCATGAACAGCTGATCTGCTAATAATCCTCCTGCTGATCCACATAGAAGAAAACACCCTGGTACTGTTATTTCAGAAATGTCATGTCCAGCTGACAACTGATGTGGGACCGTGCTGACAACTTCCCCATCTTAGTAGTGACAAGAAGGCTGGTATTGACAGGACAAGGGGTAATGGTTTTAAATTGGAAGAGGAGAGATCTAGGTGAGATATTAAGAAGAAATTCTTTCCTGTGAGGGTGATGAGGCACTGGAACAGGTTGCCCAGAGAAGCTGTGGCTGCCCCATCCCTGGAGGTGTCCAAGGCCAGGCTGGATGGGGCTTTGAGCAACCTGGTCTGGTGGGAGGTGGGTTGGAACTCGATGATCTTTAAGGTCCCTTTCAACTCTAACCATTTTATGATTTGATGATTAGTTGGAGTGTGGTGCCACTGTTTACTTAACTGACTGTAATAGACTTTGGCTCCTCTTAGTGTGCAGTGTCAGCCTTTGCAAGATGAGGCAGTGCAGTTCTAGGTTTTGTTTTGGTGGTTTTTTTTTCCCCCTCCTGGTGATTCAGCTTCATGCAATGACTTGGAGTTTTGCAAGACTATAACAAACTAAATTCATGCAGGCAGGGCAGGATATGGTTGAAAACTTTGTGCCCAGTAAAACAATCTCAAAGCCAAAATAAAATGTATGTGAACCTTAAATACCTTCTTCTGGTACTTCATCAGCCACACAGAGAGAACAGGGAAAAGTCACTTCAGTAGGAAGAAAACCAAAAAGCCCTGCACATTTGGTGTCCTTGTTCCTTTCCTGTACCAACAGTATGAAGGACAGCTTTTTGGCTATCAAGAGCCATAGCTTAAAATTTATTTCCTATGTCCCTGTTCCAGAAGTACCCAACCCCTAAGGAATGTGGCCTTCTGTGACCTTCCCTTCCCTCCCCCGAGTTCAGCTAAACTTTGAGAATCCAAGACTTTGAAAGAGGGAAGGAACTCTGTTATTTGATCCTTCTACTTGTGAGGAAACGAAAGCTTTTTCCTCATTATCATGTTGTAAAACTGCATCTGGGCTCACATTTACTTCCAGGATCTCCCTTCCATGGTACTTCTTTTGCTTATCTGTGATTTTTTTTTTTTTTCTTGCTTGTTAGTCAAGATGACAGTTTGTAGCCAGTTCTCCACTTTTCTGAGAATCCTCTCTCCTGTGCTGCCTATAAAACATCAAATGCTTTATTCTGCCTCTCAATAGGCTGTTACAGAGGGGGTTCTGGTTCTTAGACACTTTAGATGCTTTTTGGGAAACATGGGAATTGCTCACTACTAAACTTCAATATCAAATCATAAATGCAGAAACAAATGGGTTTTTTTATATATACCTGAAAAAAAGGTGTTTAGCCAGATGAGCTGTTTGCATAATGCTTGCCTTACCTGGGCATAAAACAAACATCTGGAACATGCTTTGCTGTACTACACAAATGGAGACCTTTAGAGCTCCAGAAAGCTGACATTACACACCCCCACACATCTCCCCCTTAATACCTGGGGAAGAGGCTTGGTAAAGGTCTTCTGCACTTGGCAGAGTGTGGAAGCCTGGGCTGAGTGTCTTGGCTCTGTCATGCACCGGGGAGAGCTGAGAGGAGAAAGGAATTAAAACAGCCAATTTGCTGAGGAAAAGAGCTGCCACATCTAGTTAGTAGGGAAGCAGCACGACGAGAGGCGTTGTAAAGCTGGAATTATTTGTCTGGGTTGCGAGAAGGCCCTTGAATCTGCTTTGAATTCCATCCAAAGTGAATAGATTTTTGGAAGACTGAGTAGAGTCAGATGGTAAAGGAAGAGATCGTTCAGGTTTTTGCCACTAGCTAGAAACGGGATGGTCAAAGTTCTCCTTATTTCCCTTCTCCCGTCTAACCTGAATGCCCCAATCACCAAGTCATTAACTGTATGTGCCACATCCCCTCACTTCTGTTACTCTTTTGTTCGCACAAAAGAAACATGACCATTTATTAAGGTATTTGTTACTTGCCCCAGAGGGTAGATATGGGATACTGGACCAGGCTTTCAGAATTGCTAGATTGTCTGACGTGAGGCAGCATTAAAGCAGCATTTACTAATGATTACATTTATCTATCTGAATGCATGCTATTTGTAACTTGTGGTGGAGGGTACATACTCAGGTTGGTGACTAGAACAACTTCAACAAGCCTAAGGCTACCTGTGGAAATCATGTGGCACTGCTTCAGAAATCCTTAAATTGTGTCATGACAACTTTTGAGAAGTGACTAGAGGGACAATAATGTGTGAGCAATGACTGAGAGAGAGAAGGGCTCAGGCTGATGAATTTATTAAATTCATTTTTGTATAATCCTATGAAGACTGCTTTTTGTTTTTTAAACCCATAGTTAACAAACATGGACAGGATTGGAATGAGTTTAAGGAAAACAAGGAAGTTAAGCTAGAATAAAGGATAGGTGGTAAATTATCCTGTAATTCTTTACTTGTATACAGCCTGATCTACCTGGTCTGCTTGTGCTTTCTTCAGTCACTGTAGGCAACTTACAAAGGAAGTACCATTAAGAAATAAGGTTCTCTGATCTTCAACTGTATACAAACATAAACCAGCATGGTTTCCCAAAGCTACTGATCAGCACATGTTTAGTGCTTGATCTGGAAATCACAAATTAAACAACATATAGAGCACTAATTTTCTTTTTCCTAGAAAGCTCTGGTTAATGTACTTCAAATACTGCATTAAATATTTTCATTCCCCTTTTGACAACTGACACAATAAGCTTGATAGCAGCTGCCCTGTGGTTGTTCTTTCAACTGAGTCAGCTCATGGAAGTCCTCAGTCTGAAGATAAAATGAGAGCTATACTTAGAATCCTCAAATGTTTTGGGTTGAAAGGGACGTTTAAACGTCATCAAGTCCACCTCCCTTGCAATGAGCAGGGACATCTTTAACTGGATCAGGTTGGTCAGAGCCCCATCCAACCTGACCTTGAGTGTTGACAGGGATGAGGCATCTACTGCCTCTCTGGGCAACCTGTGCCAGTGTTTCACCACCCTTTCAGTAAAGAATTTCTTCCTAATGTCTAGTCTAAATCTTCACTCTTTTAGCTTAAAACCATGGCCCCTTGTCCTATCACAAGAGGTCCTGCTAAAAAGTTTGCCCGTCTTTCTTATAAGCCCCCTTTAGGTACCGGAAGGCTGCAATAACATCTCCCCAGAGCCTTCTCTTTTCCAGGTTGAATGACCCCAACTCTCTCAGTCTGTCCTCACAGGAGAGGTGCTCCAGCCCTCTCGTTGGTTTTTGTGGCCCTCTTCTGGACCTGTTGGAACAGGTCCACATCCTTCCTGTGTTGAGGGCTCCAGAACTGGATGCAGTACTCCAGGTGGGATCTGACCAGAGCAAGGGCCAAAAGGGCTTCTCTTGATGCAGCCCAGGATGTGGTTGGCTTTCTAGGCTATGAGCACACATTTCTGGCTCAAGTCCAGTTCTTCATCCACTAGCACCCTCAAGTCCTTCTCAGGGCTGCTCTCAATCCCTTCATCCCCCAGCCTGTATTGATACTGGGGAGTTGCCCTGACCCAGGTGCAGGACCCTGCACTTGGCCTTGTTGAATCTCATGAGGTTCACGTGGGGCTGCTTCTTGAGCTTGTCCAGGTCCCTCTGGATGGCATCCCATCCCTCAGGTGTGTCAACTGCACCACTCCTCTCAGTGCCATCCGCAAACTTGCTGAGGGTGCACTTGATCATACTGTCTATGTTATTAATGAAGATATTAAACAGCACAAGTCCCAGTACAGACCCATGGGAGACACCACTTGTCACCAGTCTATCTGGACATTGAGCCGTTGACTACTATTCTCCATCTCGTTGGTTTTTGTGGCCCTCTTCTGGACCTGTTGGAACAGGTCCACATCCTTCCTGTGTTGAGGGCTCCAGAACTGGATGCAGTACTCCAGGTGGGATCTGACCAGAGCAAGGGCCAAAAGGGCTTCTCTTGATGCAGCCCAGGATGTGGTTGGCTTTCTAGGCTATGAGCACACATTTCTGGCTCAAGTCCAGTTCTTCATCCACTAGCACCCTCAAGTCCTTCTCAGGGCTGCTCTCAATCCCTTCATCCCCCAGCCTGTATTGATACTGGGGAGTTGCCCTGACCCAGGTGCAGGACCCTGCACTTGGCCTTGTTGAATCTCATGAGGTTCACGTGGGGCTGCTTCTTGAGCTTGTCCAGGTCCCTCTGGATGGCATCCCATCCCTCAGGTGTGTCAACTGCACCACTCCTCTCAGTGCCATCCGCAAACTTGCTGAGGGTGCACTTGATCATACTGTCTATGTTATTAATGAAGATATTAAACAGCACAAGTCCCAGTACAGACCCATGGGAGACACCACTTGTCACCAGTCTATCTGGACATTGAGCTGTTGACTACTATTCTCCAGATGTGACTGTCCAACCAATTCCTCATCCACCAAACAGCCCACCCATCAAATCCATATCTCTCCAATTTAGAGAGAAGGATGTTGTGAGGGACCATGTCTTCCTCTTACTGAACTGAATGTGTCAATATTATTCTTTACCCAACTTATTTCCTGGGAACCATCTTATACCATTCTTGGTACAGTGTTAGAATTAAAGCAAATACTCTAGAAACAAGTTTCTGCACCGTGAGCCCCAGAAGATCATAAGGTTTCTGTGAATGCATGTGTTCTAAGATCTTCCTTTATTCAGAACCCTCGGGCTTTTGTTTAATTTTCATGACAAAATACTACCCTTCCTACAGGTTTCTTATTTCTTGTGTTGTCCCGAGAGCTAATACCAATGGAGACATGGTGTCCTTTCAGGCTGCCTTTGTGAGAAATAAACTTGTAAAAAACCCTTTTTGTTTGGTAAGATGAGCTCTTCTATCCTGTAAAGTTGCTTGAAGTAATCAAGGTACTTGAATAAATAAAAAGGTTGTAAGGAGGAAATTAATTTTACAGGTGGTCTTTCTCACTGCCTATGCACATGAGGAATACTTCTTATTGAAAGTGACTTTTTTGCACATTCTAATTGCAACACACCGAGGGCAGAAAACTCCATCTGCTCCCCCAGAAAGCTGTAAGGAATTCTGGTTTAATGTGTACGTTGTGGAATTAAATTTACTGCTGGTGGAGAACTCCTGTGCAATACGTGTCAGTGTTTAACAATCGCAGTCAGGAGAAGTGGAACACCCAGAAAACAGCATGGAGAATCTTTAAATAGCTGAAGATTCTATTAAAAAGGTACTTCTCTGAGCAGTAGGAGAGATGAATCCGTGGACTGTTGGGATGCAGGCAATTAACGCTACCAACAGGGAATCCAATTTTCCTTCTGCTCATCAAAAAACTCCAGTACTGTGCAGGCTGCCTTCAGCCTTCAAGCCGTATGGCAGCACAGCTTCTGTGCTCAGCTTGTTCCCTGGAAAACACAAAAGGATTTGAGTGTAATGCAAGGAACCTCACAAGCAAAAGTTTAGGTATTGTAGTCGGGTTGTAAGCTCAGCTCAAAAATGGCATCGGGTGAAAACGTACAAGAACCTGAGGTGTTTGGATCCATAAGGAGAGGGAACGGCTTCAAGCTCCAACAGGGTAGGTTTAGATTGAACATTAGGAAGGAATTTTTCACAGAGAGAGTGGTCGGGCATTGGAACAGGCTGCCCAGGGAGGTGGTGGAGTCACCGTCCCTGGCTGTGTTTAAGGGACGTTTAGATGCAGTGCTGAGGGATATGGTGTAGGGGAGGACTTTGTAGAGTAGGGTAGATGGTTGGACTCGATGATCCCAAGGGGCTCTTCCAACCTCAATGATTCTATGATAACAAGATCAACTCAGTTGAAATGTGTGATATTTTGATTTCTCATGTTTTCATTTGTAAAACGTGGAAAACCTGTGTTTATTGCATAATATCTTGAGGCTTTTTGTTTTAGGTTAAAAAAGAAGTTGGCGATGTTAGCATCCTCATCAACAATGCTGGTATTGTTACTGGGAAGTCATTTATGGATTCTCCAGATTCACTTGTGGAAAAAAGCATGGAAGTGAACATAATGGCACATTTCTGGGTAATACCTATACTTTGTGTATCCCTGCAACATCATAAAACATCTTTTAAACGTGTTTTCATTGTCTTCTGGAATTGAGGGAAATATGTAAGGATGCTCCTTGTAAATTCAGTCAGAAACTATGCAAGAAATTACTTTCTGTGCCTGGGAGTCTGTGAAATAAAAAAAAAAGGGTGGAAGTATGGATCCTTTGGGAACTTCTGGGGTAGGTGGGTGGGAGCAAAACTGCTTTGTATTTAGAAATGCTCTTAAGAACTGAAGTTGGCCATCTGATAAATTCTGAAGCCAGTCGAGTGTTATAATCCCTCAATATTAATTGACACAAAGCAGGCCCAGCCTAAAATTTGCGACTTGTCTAGTAACAGAGAGGTGTTCAGTTCTGTTAGTGTTCCAGTTGCTTTGTGGTTGTGATAGTTTCAGTAAGAAATACCACATGTTCAGACAATGCTCTTAATAATAAGTGGGGCTTTTGTCCAAAGTGAGTAACTTAATTTGCTTTTTCCTCCTTCCGGGGAGGGCAGGTCATCTCTATGGTGTTCCTGTCATAAAGAATTGGAAAGGGGATATTAAAACGTGCTCCAGTTTCTTCATAAATAAAGTTAATCACATAGATTAAATGAATTTAATGGAAGGAAGACATGAAATTCAAATTTTTGCCATTCTACTAAATTTGCAGTGAAGACTTAATTCTCCTTTGAAACACTGCAGCTCTGAGCTTTAGGCTGAAAGAAGCTTAACAATTAGCTGAAACTGTATCTTTAGCTTTCAGCAAGTTACCCTCTGTCTTTGGTGTTGAGGAGAAAGTGGTACTGATGGGGCCTGGAAAGTCCCACCTTAGTAGCTGAAGGTTACAGTTCAAACAACAAACTCATTTTGACCCCCTCTCCCCTCCTTCCTTCCATAATGGCAGTGGGGGAAGCTGTGGGGACACTTTAAATTCAAAATATTCCAGCACTTAGTTTACTTAGTGAAATGTTTCATTGCTGCTCTGACGTCCATTGCAGACTTACAAGGCCTTCCTCCCAGCGATGGTGGCCTCTAACCACGGACACTTGGTTAGCATTGCAAGCGCGGCGGGATTAATTGGAGTCAATCGCCTTGCAGGTAGTGTATTACATCTAACACTCATTTAGGCAACTTTATTTAAGCTACAATCAATACTCATTTAAAAAAAAAAAATAATCCTAATTTTGAGTTTCTGGGTCTTTGCCCATAGGTAAAGCAAATGTTCTTACTTTCAAACCAGCTGACCTTAAACCAGCCATTCCTTTCAAAAGAGTTTTCCAGATGCTCAGTAGTGCTCCTCTACGGGTTTTCCTAACTCAAAGAACTACCAAAGTCCAGACGTGGTACAGAGGTAGAGGTGTAATATCTCATTTTGTATTCTCTGTCTCTCGGCGATTCATGCAAGAGGAGCCATACCATTATGGAGAGAAAGTGCTCAGATTAGGGCAAACTCAGAAGGCATTTCTGGAAAACATATGCAAAGGGGGAGGAAAGTGAAATAAGGTGACATAGCAGTAAAAGAAATGTAGCTTCAAGGCAGTGATAATGAAGACAAATTGAGCTTCAAGTTGAAACCACATTAGAGAGCCTTAGAAGCTTGAGTTTGATGCATAAGAAGCTGGTGCCTGGATTCAAAGATAAGGTCTGGTATGAAAAGATAATCTCATTTGCTATTGTTCAGTAGAGATTGGAAAGGTGATAGCGGGGATGCAATGAGAAACCCTTCCTGCCATTCTGGAACAACAGTTAAATTAGGAGAGGGAAATTAAAAGGAGTGAACCTCATCAAAGGCAAATGTTATTAGTAACCTGATCCTGAAAACAGTCCCTACTCTGTTGTTAAGTATTTTATTATCGGACAGTAATTTCCTGCAGATACTGTGTATATATCATGCTATCATACTATGTATATAATTTCTATACTATAGTGCTGCTGTTGTATACTGTAAAAAAATGCTGTGGCTGGTCAGTTTACGTAGTAGAGCATAGCTTTGTACCTGTTCTCTGTCAAAAGCTGTTACTGCTCCTGTGCACGCGTTCACTGGCAGGACTCGCTGAACCTGTTTAGTAAAATCTAATTAGTAAATTAAAATGTTTAACTGCAATTAATGTTTTATTTATTTTACAGATTACTGTGCAAGTAAATTTGCAGCAGTTGGTTTTGCGGAGTCAGTTGACATCGAGATGAGAGTTCTGGGAAAGACTGGCATTAAAACCACAATCGTGTGCCCTTTCTTCATAAACACAGGAATGTTTGATGGCTGTGGAACCAAGTGAGTAGACTCCTGTGAGGTTTTTAGGCACCACACATGCTGATGATACAAAACTGGGAGGGCTCGCTGACATGCCGGAGGGCTGTGCTGCCATCCAGCGAGACCTCGACAGGCTGGAGAGTTGGGCAGAGAGCAACCTGAGGTACTTCAGTGAAGGCAAGTGTAGGGTGCTGCACCTGGGGAGAAGTAACCCCAAGCACCAGTACAGGTTGGGGGCTGCCTTGCTGGAGAGCACCTCTGAGGAGAAAAAACTAGGAGCCCTGGTGGACAATAGGAAGACCGTGAGCCAGCAATGTGCCCTTGTGGCCAAGAAGGCCAATGGCATCCTGGGGGGCATCAGGAAGAGTGTGACCAGCAGGTCGAGAGAGGTCATCCTGCCCCTCTACTCTGCCCTGGTGAGGCCCCATCTGGAGCACTGTGTCTACTTCTGGGCCCCCAAGTTCAAGGACGGGGAACTGCTGGGGAGGGACAGCATAGGGCTACAAAGATGAGGGGCCTGGAGCATCTCCCTTACAAGGAGAGGCTGAGGGACTTAGGTCTCTTTAGTCTAGAGAAGAGAGGGCTGAGGGAGGATCTGATCAAGGCTTATAAATACTTAAAGGGAGGGTGTCAAGAGGATGGGGCCAGTCTTTTTTCAGTGGTGCCCAGGGATAGGACAAGAGGAAATGGGCACAAACTTGAATATAAGAAGTTCCACCTAAACATGAGGAGGAACTTCTTTCCTGTGAGGGTGGCAGAGCCCTGGAAGAGGCTGCCCAGGGAGGTGGTGGAGTCTCCTTCTCTGGAGACATTCAAACCCCGCCTGGACACGTTCCTGTGCAACCTGCTCTGGGTGGACCTGCTTTGGCAGGGGGGGTTGGACTAGATGATCTCCAGAGGTCCCTTCCAACCCCATGTGATTCTGTTACATGCTCCCATTTCCTTTATGAAAATCATCTTCCAACCCCGTGTGATTCTGTGATTCTGTTACATGCTTCCATTTCCTTTATGAAAATCACGAGCAGGGCTTTTCTCTGCTTGTGTTATTTTTAGGGCCTGTGCTGAAGCCAAATGCCCCTGTTGCCCTCTTCGGCTTCTAAACCCCCCGTTCTGAAAGCAGTGGCATAGCTTTGCTCAGTGTGCTTGTAGAATGACAAATTTAGGAGCCAAATAAAAGCTTAGTGTGTCATAATACAAGGACTATGTGGATTTGTCTTAGGAGAGATCATAGAGATCAAGGGAAAATAACAACGGCCGCTCACTCTCTAGCATAATGAGGGTTCTGTTGCTCATAGGATTTGTGGTATTTATTTCTTCTTTTAGTTGAATAACTGCAAAAGGGAGACTTACTTTGAGTAAAATGTGAATCCAAAGCTATTTGTGTCACAGGAAGAAATGTCTTCTCTTCCAGGTGGCCGAGGCTGCTTCCTGCTCTGGAGCCAGAGTATGTGGCTGAGAAGATAATGACTGCTATTCGGCGGGACCAAGAAATATTGATGATACCACGCAGTCTCTATTTCATAATCTCATTGAAACAGTAAGTATTTCCTTCGTTACCTCTCTCTCTTTTCTGTCCAGGAATGTTTCAGTTACGTTTTTGACTAAAAATTCAAACCGGGCTTCTGCTTGATGGCTCTAATTTTCATTAAGTTCTGCACGTTTCTGGAATTTCCTGGTTTTTTAGGTTTCTAGGGGTTCAGTCCACCCTTGGACCACAGAACAATGTCAGAGATGTCTAACTGTGACTTGCTGACTCCATTGGGGTGCGGTTTCACCGTGGGCTGTAGAGATGGGGCCTGCTCCTCAGCAGCTGTCTATCTGGTGTCCTGCCTCAGGGTTAGGACACTCCTGACTCTGTTGCAAGCCAGGCTGGGAAATGTAATAACTCAGGCTGCCAAATGAGTGTGATGGGTATTTTGAGGGGAGCAGTGAAACTATATTCTGGAGAGTACACTGTCTTTGCCAGTATTAGCCAGGTAAAGCTAATTCCATGATAAAACTCTTCTGATGTCTGTTTTTTGTTCTCTTCTTCAACTCTCCTACCTTACAGATTCCTACCGGTGAAACTTACCGTTCTCTTTTCGGACTATTTTGGAAGCCTCCATGTCATGGATAACTTCAGAGGTCGACAGAAGAAGGACTGAAAAGGCACAAAATTCAGAGACCTGCAACCCTTAAGTGGACCTTTTTAAAGGTGGTGGTGTTAAAGGTCTGCTTCTCTAGCAGCTGTGAACTTAAGGTGCCTCATTACTCATTAGTAACAACTTTTAAGGAAATTGCTTTTTACTTGGCTCTTAATCAACAGCTTTCACTCAAACTATTTTTTTTTTTTTAATCCGGTGAACTGATTTCTTTTCACCTCGTTATGGAAAATGCGTTAATTGAAATGAGTTCCTTTGGTTCTGTCTGTTATAATGCCTTAAATATGATCCTGCATCACCAACTAATAATTGGCAGCTCGGAGTGGGGGGAGGAGGGACCAAGAAACCACATGAATGTGGCCAAGAGCCAGGAAAGCCTCTAGTGGTCTTGACTTCTCGCTGCCCTTCATTGACCCATGAGGAAGGGCTGCTCTGCTGGTGCCCTTACCATTCCCGGGGAAGCTGAGGAGTTCCAAGAGTTTCCTGAAACAGCAGATTCAAATTTATACAAATGGAAGTTTTCTGAAATGAAAATATGTGCCGTGTTGGTGCAAAACCAGTGAAATATCTTAATTTTTGGAGGTGGTGGTCTTGGGATTCACAGGTGACTATGGATGTCGGGGAAGGATGTAAATGATGCATTTGTGCTGCTAATCTACTTTTTGTCTCATTTATTTTAAAAGCTAATACTATGACTGCAACTTTGTAGTAAAAGTTTTTGTATCTTCTAAGTGCAATATTTTAAGAATAAATTTGCAGTTATAAAGCATAAGACTGCCAGGCTAAGCGGGCTATCAAACGTCTTGCCAAGATGAATTACACTGAGCTGCTAGAAACAAAGATATTACGCTGTATAACCAGGGCTTCTTTGGGGATTATTTCAGAAAGGAATGATGCTGGTAGAACTGGTGTGAATGGGATCCTTGCAGCCATTACGTTTTGCTTCTCTGCATCAGGTGGAAGGTTGCCCTGTGTCTGCAGAGATTTTTTTTTACTTTATCTTCGGTCTGTCCGTTTATTTTGGACATAGGCCTTGCCCTTCTTGACAATGGCTTCTTAGAAAACTGAAAGCCCCTTGACTTTTGGGCAGAGATTTTTTTTTACTTTATCTTCGGTCTGTCCGTTTATTTTGGACATAGGCTGAGGAGGCCTTGCCCTTCTTGACAATGGCTTCTTAGAAAACTGAAAGCCCCTTGACTTTTGGTAAATCCAAAATGAGGGAAAAAAAAAAAAGGAAGGTTATACCTGAAATGTATGCCATTTATGCACATGCTGGCTAAGCCCACCTCAGGTCACAGTACTCTATTGAAAATTGGTAACACCTGCAAACTAAGACTAAAAGGCATTAGCGTGCAATTAATTGAAAGACAGGTGGGAGAAAAGGGTGATTTTTTTTAATGTTGGGGGTTTTTTCCCTCATAGTGACCTACAAACTACATTTATTTCTCTGGTCTGAGGCCTTGCCCTTCTTGACAATGGCTTCTTAGAAAACTGAAAGCCCCTTGACTTTTGGTAAATCCAAAATGAGGGAAAAAAAAAAAAGGAAGGTTATACCTGAAATGTATGCCATTTATGCACATGCTGGCTAAGCCCACCTCAGGTCACAGTACTCTATTGAAAATTGGTAACACCTGCAAACTAAGACTAAAAGGCATTAGCATGCAATTAATTGAAGGACAGGTGGGAGAAAAGGGTGATTTTTTTTAGTGTTGGGGTTTTTTTTCCTCACAGTGACCTACAAACTACCTTTATTTCTCTGGTCTGTACAGTTAGTGAGGTTTACTGGCAGACAAAAGTTTACATAGAACTGTTTTACTACTGATGAGCAAGAAATGCTGAGTAAAATAAGTGTGTTAAAAAATGGCCTTACTTTTATGATGGATTAATGAGAGTCAGGATTCAGACTGATCAAGAAAAGATTTGTCTTACTATCCTTCGGGATTTGCAGATTTTTCTGCCTCAGAAATTCTGTTCATTTTATAGTATACTTCGGGAAATGAAAGTTACTACTTAGAGAACAGATATTACCTAAATGTGCTGTCCATATGTAGGTTGCACCGTTCCCTGGTAATAAAGTCAGTCACTAATAACTGTGTGGCCTATCTGTGTCTTGCAAACTTTTCACCCTTTTATGCTAAAAAGCACATTTTTCCTCCTGACTACGAAATACTGGGTGTGCAGGATTCTGGAGCAAAGGAGGAGAGAAATGGGTTACACATATGGACGGTATGTATCAAACTCCAGCTCTGGTAAGAGCGAGTCTTAAAAAAATTAAATACTTGAAGCAGGTAGAGCTTGCTTGTAGAAATTATCTCCACCTGCAGCAACAGGCAGAAATCTGTTTCCTACCCTGCTTCTGAGCTGAGGACTTGGAAGAGAACTGTGAAGTCTGTTTCTTCAACTTTAGTTTTTTTATATTGCCAGTAAAATGGCTCAGTGCCTTCACTCCTGCTTTTAGATACATATAATTTTATCTGTGATAATATTTCTATTAACACTAAAGTTTATGGCTTGGTCCTTAGAATTCAGATAATTAAAAACGATGAAGTATCTTTGCTTTTGATATTTTTGTGATTGTAACTCTGCCTCTCCAAAGTACATCAGGTTTCCAGATTCCCTTCAAAGGGGAGAGAGCACTTAAACGATCACTTCACATTCGAGAAATAATGTCCTTTCATCTGCCTTTTCCTAGGTGTGGAGAGAGGCAGCTGGGATTGACAGGAGAGAGCTCCAAAGTGGGAAACCACCTTGGAGAAGAAGGCTGGAGGATGGATGAAAAAGCAGTGAGGAAATTTAATTCGCCTGTTCAAATGGGAGTCCACTGAATATGTGGAAGGATGCAAGGAAAGAGGGAAAGGTGGTATCGGTGATACTGTGTTCAAATGGGAGTCCACTGAATATGTGGAAGGATGCAAGGAAAGAGGGAAGGGTGGTATCGGTGATACTGTTGATGAGAAATTATAGAATCATAGAATGGTTTGGGTTGGAAGGGACATTAAAGACCATGGAGTTCCAACCCCCCTGCCGTGGGCAGGGACACCTCCCACCAGGCCAGGTTGCTGAAAGCCCCATCCAGCCTGTAAAAAGAGGTAGATCGGAGCTGTTGTGAGTGAAGGAGCACCATGGCTCCCCCCTTCCCAAGGCAGACAGGAAGGCTTCCAAATCCACTCCCTTTCCAGAGTCTTTCTAACTCACTTTGGCTATTTGGTACGCCATAGCAGGCTCCAGCTTTACATCTGAGCCTGTGTAGTGACTTGTCTGTGCAATGCTTTCCCTCTTGGATTAAATAATCTCTTTAAAAATAGCAGGCATTTTATGGGGTAGCACCCTGGCTACTAAGAACCTGCACTGAGGAGACACTGGGATGCTCACATCTCATTTCATTCACCCAGCCACAAGGCTAGCCTTTTTGCCTTTATTTTTTTAGAATATTTAGAATTTTTTTTTAGAACACGACATAGAAATAATGCATTTTTCACATCCAAAGGAAGAGCTGTTGCATTATTTCCACTGCCTGTTCTCTCAATACGCGTGCTTTGCAGCAGACAAAGCCACATCCACGTTCCCCACCTGAGTTATAGGTTAGTTTGTTGTTTTGGTTTTTTTTCTTTTTAATAGTGTTCTCTTAATATCCAAAAAGGAGCATTAAAAGTACACATAGATCAAGGGAGAGATGTTCAGGGATCACGCCGCTCCTCGGCTGAGGATTTTGAAGGAGATATAATAGAACTACCCATATTTTTCTTCTTCTTCTTCTTTCCCCACTGTTTAAGCAAGAAAGCAGCTTTGACTTGTGTTGGGATACATTGACAATATCTGCTAATCCGGGGCAGAATGATCCTGCATCTAACTTTCATCAACCAAATATTCATGGCACTGCGTCAGTAACGACTTACTAGCGCTTCAAGATCTCTGGAAATTCCTTGGCTCTCATACCATTACCACTCCCAATCTGAACTGTGAGGAGACTGGGATGGAAAATATTAACAACCTTTGTATTTTGTCTGCGTAGAGAAAGGACTGCTATAAATTGACTGCTGTTATCTTACAGCTTTTTAAAGACGACGAGCAAAATGTAAGTGGCGCATAATTCCTTAAGAAATAAGATCCCTCTTATCAAAAGGGATTATCTTAAGAGAAAAAAAAATAATACCTGTAAATTTACACACACATACATTACAGTTAAGTTTAGAATAAAGTTACTGGAATAGTAAATAGCTTCACTAGGCTGGAGACTTCCAACACTACAATGACAGGTGGTTTGAAAATGAATTGATGTAGAAAGACACAAAAAAAAGGCAAATTGCAGTCAGTACAACGCAGATAATCCTTGTTGGGCTCTGAGATTTGTCATGCCACCGAGCACACAGCTTAGCAGTGGCTTTCCCCTGAGGCTGGCATCACGTGCCACTCGGAGATGGCTGCGTACCCTTGTACTTCTTTTTTTTTCTGCAGATATCTGGATATCTGCGTTCTGCACGTGGTGAAGTTTTGGAACGTTACCTCTGCGTGTAAGAACCTCAATTAGCATCAAGTCCAATGTCTGTTATCCCAGACAATGGAGTGTTGTTTAATATTAAAAAAAAGTCAGATGTTCATGGAAAAATATGCGAAGGAATGCCTTTGAGTAGATCTCATCTGTTTCTAGAACAACACACTTATCATAAGACTCATTTGAAGGCTTATTGAGGGACAGTAAACATCATTATATGAGCAAACCTGCCTCATATTGGGATTCTGCCACATCCTTGGACCTTCCTCCAAAAAAATGTTAATAACAATCAGACTTGGTCCAAAAGTAAGAATTGACAGAATTACACTTGTTCGTTTACCTGCAGGTGCTAAACCCTCTGGCTTTGCTACAATGAGGAGTTACACGGATACATAACTATGAATAGTCCATTTTGGCACTGTTTTCTCTGTCCTACATGGTTGAGAATTTAACCAGCATTGTGCAGCCACTGGTTTGCAGGAGGATTTTGGTTCAGAGGACCCTGACAAAGATGATAGGAAATATCTGCTGGGAAAGACTGATCTAACCAGGGACCATGAGACTGCTACTCTCCCCAGGGGAAGGAGGAGAGCTGAAGATGTGCTCTTCTTGAGGATGGAGCCAATCCCCCAAAATACATTAAGCTGTACAACAAAAAGGCCAAAGGTAACAACATCCAGCAAAGTAACTGCCATTGTAGATAAACCTTAGCTTTTTCCTTTGCACTTACTAAATTCTATCCTCTTGATGGTGGGCAGCCAAAATAACTAGCTGTGACTGTATTTTCTTCAAACTTGAGTGGCTGAAGCCACTCAAGGAACTGTTGCTGGTTAGACTAAGTAGTACAAATCTATTCCACAGCAGGTAGAGAACAACATGCTGGTTCTTGCCAAGGTTCTCTGCAGAGACTTGGAGATGATCTTCTCCCAATGTCTGCTTGCTTGTCAGCAGGGGTGGTGTCACTGAGAACAGGCATCTGGCTTACACACTTCTTTGACTATTAAGAGAAAGAAGGTACCGACGCTGAAATAGTCCAAAAGGCCCATTGACTGCATTAGTTAAAAAATATTGTGGCAAACTATCATTGTTTCATTTCTCTCTAAGAACTTCTTTTTGTAAAGGACATTGAGATTCACCACACAGTGACAACAGGTCCTCCATGATTTTCTCCCTAGGAGCTGGTTGGACATGAGCAGTCCTGTGGGGATGTAGAGCCTGGCAAAGTTTCCCATGCAGTTTTTAGTTCTTCCCCTGTCTTTCTCCACCATCACCAGT